GGGGGGGGGCGGGAAACTCTAGGGCTGGTCTAGCAAACGTTTCAGAGCCTTTCCCAGGGACTAATAATAAAAGCACAGAAAGACCTTCTCCCGGGTACAGTAATTATATGGAACTCATTGTCTTTAATCGATGTCACTAAAATTAGAACTAGACTCTGGAGGAGTTTAGATAAATACATGGATAACGTTAGGCCAGGAGATCCAGCCTCACCCCGTTTGGCTCCGTGGTTTGAACGTCGGCGCCCAGACTGCAGGGTCCCGGGTTTCATTCTGGCCGAGGGCACGTGGCTCGCAGGAGGCGGCCCGTCGGTGAGCCTCTCACATCCATGTTTCTCCCCCCCCCACTCTCTCTGAAAAGCAATGGGGGGAAATACCCTCGGGTGAGTATTAAAAACCAAAAAAAGCCAAAGTGGCTTAGAATTAGATACACTTGTTCCCTGCCAGTCTGGAGGTAAGAAGTACACGAGGCAGGCAGGTGTCCGCAGGGCCGTGTCCCCAACAGGTGCTGGGGAGGGTGTGTCCCCCCCTCTCCCGGCCGTAGGGTCCTTCACTCCTGCCCGGATAACTCCAATGCTCACGGGTTGTTCAGCATTCCCGTCTCTCTCTGCATCCGAGTTCCCTTTTTATAAGGATGCCGGTCGTCTTGGGTGAGGGCCCACCCTGAGGACCTCACCTTAACTGGATTACATCTGCGGGACCCTATTTCCAAATAAGGTCATGCTCAGAGGAATGGGGGGGGGTTAGAACACCAACACCGTTCGGGGGGACACAATTCAACCCCACAACAAGCACTGAACTCCATCCACAAGGTGTATTTCTTTTTCCGAAAAGACTTCCCTGTATATGGCCTTCAGCCTACAGGTTAAGGGTATTAAGTTCAGGTACTTCAATAATTGGGCCAATTAATTAGGCTGATTAAACTTGAGAATTTCGGGGCACTCGGGGCACTCGGGACATAGGACAGCCCCGCCCACCTCTCCGCACCTCCCAGCCCTTGCTTCGCAACACGGAGGTAACAAGGCAGCTTCGCAACGTTGTCGTCAAGAGGAAATAAGAGACTGTGCTTAGGAACACCTGTGACTTGGCCAACCTCAGTAAGACACTGTTGGTATTTCCAATATTATTTATAGACTCTTCCCAATATTATCGACGATCCTAATAACCACGGAACTGAAGCCTAAGGGGCTGGTGGTTCTGTGTTGAAGGCGTCGGTCGCCCCCTGGTGGCCGCATCCTATCTGTAGCCTGGGTCCCGGACATGTCCACGGAGAACCAGCCTGCTGGTCGCTTCATCTCCAGTTATAATGTGGGAAAGAAAAAGAGAGAGAGAGAGAGAGACAGAGAGAGAGACAGAGAGAGAGACAGAGAGAGGATCAGCTAATTGCCACAGAACTCCACACTCGAATGCATTAAAGGGAGGCCCGGACGCTCGGGCCAGGTGCCTACACGTGGACGACTTTAAGGGGCGAGTCCCTGTGTCCGTCCCTAAACCATCTTTCCGGGTCCCCAGAGAGAGAGGAAACCTGGGGCAGGGAACCATCGTCTGAATAAATGGCCTTTTCTACCCCCCTCTTACCTCCAGGGCCTGGCAATAGGGTAAAGGCTTAATGAGTGTTTGTGGCGTGAGCGAGTGAAGGGCACGCTGTGGGAGCTGAGCACCCCCAGTTCAGGCTCCGTCCCCCCCTCCTGCAGGGAGTAGAGCTGGGACCTGTGTCACGTCACCTGTGAGGCAGCTCAGGCTCCCGCCTGGCCCTCAGACAGACCTGGGGAAATGTGTGAAACTTCCAGAAAGTAGCAACGCTCCGGCCCTCGCGGGAGCCAACAGCGCAGGTGTCGCCGTGTGCCTGGCAGCCCCGCTTTGCTGGCTCTGCCTCTTGGCCCGGGATGTTTCTGGTGGGTTTGTCCCACTTGGAGACCCGGCGTCTCCATCCATCACTGTCTCGTGGACGCGCTCGCATTTGGCACTTGGAGCAGCGTCTCTGGCACTGGCAGCTCCTTGGTGCCAGGAAAACAGCTCCCTCCGCACCCCACAAACCCGGCTCCCTCGGAAAGGAGGCAAAGGGAGGCGGGGCCGGGAGGCGAGGGGGGAGCAGCAGAGAGGCAGCTGCTATTTTTAAGGGAACGTTTCCTCTCCCCTGTCGAATCCTCGCGTTGAGTCAGGAGAGGGCGAACGCAGCTGAAATGGGTTTTTATTGACAGCAGGGCCTGGGGAAATGGGAATCTATTTTTGGCTCGAGCTAAAAACAAAGTCCCGCGTGGGGGAGAGGAGCGGGGTTGGCAGGGCGTGGCGTTCGTCTCCCGCCCGGGCCCTGCCTCCTGCCCACCAGGGAGCAGGTCTGCTTTGTGCGTTTATTTGGGCAATTCTGTCTGTCCTGCCCTTCGTGAGACTCCGGATTCGGACTTCAGGCAGCACCTGGGAGCCAGGAGGGGAATGAGGCGGGTTCCCGGGAGCTCGGAGTCCCACCCTCTGTGCACTCGGTCCTGCCCTTCGGGAAACTGTCACCTGTGACACGTCCTCAGCGTCACTATTACAAATACCGGCGGAGCTCTCGCCCCAGGTAAGACGCCGGGGGAGAGTCCAGACGGGTGAAAAAGATCCTTCAGCGGGAAATTTGGGGACCATCAGAGTAGGGCCCCGAAGATGTCCCCTTACTAAGCGGCACCTCCCTTTTGCATCTAGGTTCTGAACGAGTTGAGACAAAGGCTAAAGACCAGATGGAAAACATTGCCTCAGCCTCAGCTCCTGACCCAGCCTGGGTAGGTAGCAAATCTCGCCCCCCAGGCACACCCACCCCCTAATCCCTGAAACCCGGGGCTGTCAGGTTACTGGCAAAGGGGATTCGAGCTCCGAGACAGATCAGGTTGCGGGTCCGCAGACACCACCACAGGGACGTCATCATTCTCATTGGCCGTAAGTGCCCAGTTTCCCGAGGCTGCTGTTAACAAACTCCCACAAACTTAGTGGCTTAAAACAACATATGTGAATGTATCTTACAGTCCCGGGAGTCCCAGAGTGAAGTCCTAAAAGGAGGGCAGTGTTCCTGTTGGAGACGAGTAGGGATAACCCGTCTCCTTGATCTTCCGAGGTCCCGAGGTTGCCTGGTGTCCCTGGCTCACAGCCCCACCCTCTGTGTCAAAGCCAGTAACCCAGCCTCTGTCTCCGTCCGTGTCTCTGTCTCTCTCCGTGATCACCTGTCCTTCTCTCACCTGCCTGCCTCCCACTTATAGGGACACTGTGATCCCCGAGGGCCACCAGGGTAATCCAGGATCATCTGCATCTGAAGATCCTCAACTGAGTCCCACCTGCAAAGACCCTTTTTCCAGGTAAGGTAACGTATCCACAGGTGCCTGGGATTAGGATATGGACATCTTGGGGGGGGGGGCACACTGTCCAGCCTACCATATACCCCAAAGCCACAAAATGCTTGGAAATCAACCTAAGTTGTAAAACAACCCCCAGCCGTCAGCCTATCCCCCCGGGGGCCTCACCCCGGAATCCATGCCCCTGACTCACGACCAGAAACGAGATCATATCTCACGTTGGGCCATCAAAGTAGAGAAAGCTACAGAGTAAAACCGCACCGACCCGCCCTTTTGATTTTGCCCCGCTCCCCTCCCCTGACCTGGACCCGGGCCCTTTGCCAGCCTCTCCTGCCTGCTCCAGCCTCCGGTTCCCAAACGACAAAAACCACCCTGGCGAACGGGCCTCGCGAGCTGGACTTCAGCCAGGCGCCGGCCGCCTGGGGGCGCTGTGGCCCCAGTGGGTGCAGGACTGGCCGGGGTGAGCGCACAGAGGGTTAAGGCCAAGGTCACTGCGCACAGAGGGTTAAGGCCAAGGTCACTGAGCACAGGGGTTAAGGCCAAGGTCACCCGGTCAGGGCGCGCCCGGGATGGTGCTGAACGGGGACGCTCTGGGGCGCACGGGGCAGGCGGCCCGCTCTGGCACAGGCTTTGCAGCCAGGGCGGCCTCACCGCGGCTCAGATGTTCCCGAGCAGCGGGGAAGGTTGCGTTGCAGAAATAAAGAATGAGGGCGGTGAGAGATTAGGAAGAGTCGCCTTTCAAAACACTCGGCTGCCAACAAATTTAAGAGGGCACGTCCTTTAGGGGGAGGCGGTCGAGCCCCGGAGCTCGCCCCGTAGAATCCCGAGGCCCCTGCACAGGCGCACACGTGAGGCTTTGTTGGGTTTTTATGTAAATCCGGGCTTCGTGAGGATGGAAGCTGAGCTTTTAGCAAAAGCACAGACGGAGCTGCGAGGCCCTGAGAAAGGGGGAGACAGAAGCCTGGCCGGGGGGGCCTCTGCATCCGCTGTGAAATCGCCGTGTCTGGGGTCTGGGTGGGGCCGGGACAAGCACAGCTAACGCACACCCACCTCACCGTCCGCACAACAAACGGTCCCCCTGGAGTCCGCAGTGAGCTCATTTTTTTATTTTTAAAATATGTTTTTATTGATTTTAGAGAAAGAGGAAGGGACAGGGTTAGAGAGAGATAGAAACATCGATTGGCTGCCTCCTGCACACCCCCTCCTGGTAACCTGGGCCTGGGCCCTGACCAGAAAGGGAACCAGCCACCTTCTGGCGCAGGGGAGGCAACTGAGCCACACCAGGCAGGGCAGTTTTTCTGTTTTCATTCTTCCTTTCTGCTTGGTACTTTCGGGACCACCAGAGAAAGCCCAAAGGCACCCCAAATCGATGCCGTAGGATGCCTCGCTTCTAGTGAGCTCACCTCTTGCTTTCCCCGGGCCCACAGCCCCACCAGGGCGCACACCTGAGCCTTCCCTTTGTCGGGAGAAGCTCCTCACCTCTCCAGCCCGCCTGTGAGTCTTCCCCCGAAGCCCATGATGGTGGCTGGCGCCCAGGTGGAGAAACCTCTGGGTGAATAGTCCATAGTGTGTGTGTTCTCACCGCAGAGGTCCTCGTTGGCTCCCATACATTAATGGGACTGACTTTATCAGGCTGTGAGGATTTGTTAAGTCATGAGCCCCATGGCTTACAGCTGTGCCCAGAGCTTTGCAAGTGTTGGGTGGTGATATTCTTTGGTCTCCTAAGCCCTCGACCCTTTGACAAGAGACAGCAAGAATGGGTCACCTGCCCTGGCCAGTGTGGCTCAGTGGTTAGAGCGTGGGCCCCGGGCACCGAAGGGTTGCAGGTTCGACCGACTCACGGTCAAGGGCACGTACCTGGGTTGCAGGATCAATCCCTGGTCCCGGTCAGGGCATGTTCAGGAGGCAACCAATTGATGTTTCTCACACATTGATATTTCTCTCTCCCCCCCCCTTCCACTCTCTCTAAAAATCAATGGAAAAAATATCCTCGGGTAAAGATTAAAAAAAAAAGACAGAGTCACCTCTGTTTTCCTCTCTGCCCCACACTCCTCCAAGGCAGTGACCCGAGACCCAGGTTCCTACTTGAAAGGAAACAAAAATGGAGACAAAACAACAGGTAGTGAAGACACCGGAGTATTATTTCAGGCGCCACATGAAACAGCGAGAGAGCTCTGTGCCCGGTGCACGGCATCGTGTTCGAAGCCCGACCTGCAGGGAGGCCGTCCTGGCCTCCTAGTCCCTTGGGAAACCCGGGAAGTGCATTTCTGGTGGGGACGGATGCAGGAGTCGAGCAGCATTGGGGGGGGGGGCTCTTTGGCTGTGATCATTTTTCTCAGGATGCTGCTCTGCAGGTTCAAAATTACATCCCCCAGATGAATATTTTTGGCCCGAGAGATGATAAATTGTGTTGCTCCCCTCTGCACAAATCAGAAATTGAAATAGATGGAGCACGTCCTGAGCAGTGCCAGGGCCAGCGAGCCCAGGGCCGGGGGGGGGCTGCCTTTGGGCTCATTGGAGAGGAGGGAAGGGCGCGTCCTGGGTGCTCGGCACAGACAGAGGGCCTGCGGTTGGCGTTTCTACAGTGATGTCGCTCATATTGGTCATTTCTTCCTAATAACATCACGACTGCCCGAGCCTGCATTATTATTTATTTTTTTAACCCTTCCCCGAGGATATTTTTCCATTGATTTTTAGAGAGTGGGGGCGGGGGAGAAACATCGATGTGAGAGACACGCATTGATTGGTTGCCTCCCATACATGGCCCGTCCAGGGCCAGGGATCAAACCTGCAACCCAGGTACATGCCCTTGAGTGGGAATCGAACCCTCAACCCTTGGGTGTGTTGGCTGGCGCTCTAACCACTGAGCCACATCAAGCCAGGGCTTGGGCACCTGCTTTAATATTCTTCATCACACTCACCTATGTTGCTAGTTAGTAATAAAGACACGTTCTTGATTCTTTCCCTTGTGCTTTCTCTTTGGTATTATACAATTTAGCCAGATTTCTCTGAATCGCCTTAAGCAGAACCGAAAAGACAACACTCCCACCAGCTATCTGTGTCGGTTTCACCACCACTCTGCAAGGTCTCAGGTTACTCCACGAGTCTGCATTCACCACAGGAATAAACAGAAAGTGATCGATGACATTTAGGTCAAGCCCAGTTTTTTGTTTTTTGTTTTTTCTGGCCCAGTAAAAGTGCAAGTCTGCTAAGAAAAAAATTTCCAGGCACCCCCAAGCCCCAAGCATCCCCCAAACCCTAAGAGGTCAACGCTAGTATTGCTGATTTTTAAATGCGTGAATAGCACAGAGGCTGCATCAGATATCTGAGCGGTGCGTCTGGTGAATGGAGGCGACGTTCATTCGCTTCCCTTGTTGACACCATCAGCAGGGCCGCCCTTGGCCGGAGCTCCCAGCGTGGAAAACGGACAGCACCGCTCGCCGGCCTCAGATCAGAGCGTCGGTTTGCAGAGGGAGAGATCTGTATGTAGCGGGCGTGAGTTCTGTATTTGCTGACATTTAGAAGGATAGTCGTAGGATTTATGTCCACAGTGGACTTCGGATCAGAGCGCTCTTGGAGGAAGACTCAGAGGTGACATTTACTTATTGGTGCACTCAGGTTTCAGGGCTCACGCGGAGGATGCATAATTCATGCTGGAGGACACCTGGCTCAACAGGAATGGATGTAGTTTATCCCTGTCCAAGACCACTGCAAACACACCCGTGACAGATGTGGGGACGCGGGGATTCGGGGCTGGGCCGTGGGATGTGTGAGGGCACAGCCCAGCCCCTTCAATATTTCCCTTCCGTCCTTTGGGGAGCCTTCCCATAGAATCCCTCTCATTATATGAGTCCTGATTTATTTTCTTTGAAATAAATCATTACTCACTAAAAGTGAGCAACGCTGGGCATTAGCTTTGTCAGAATTAAGAGAAAATGAACGAAGATAGCTTTCCCACAAGCTGAGATTTCTATGCCAAGCACAGCATGAAAATGTAATTAGAGTTCTCTCACAACGATGACAATCTTCGTAACCGAACACTAGGGGGTGTTTCAACCGATTTAATAGTCGCTGTTTAGCAAGTGACGTCAGCAGTCAGCAAAGCGGCAGAATGAGTTTCCCACTGTCTTCCCCAATCTGCGCCCCTCAGTTCAACTCAGCATTACTCACAGCCACCAGGACACGGACACCACGTAAGAGCCCGCTGATGGATGGATGGATGAAGAAGAGGTGATCCATACACACAATGGAGTATTATTCAGCCATAAAAAATAAGAAAAGCTAATTTTAAATATTAGACAATCTCATTGCTGCCTGAAAGCTCTACTCTAAACCACTTACCAAAGTTAACTGTTTGGCCATTTACAGCAATGAAGGCTTGAATATTAAATCATTTTTCAGACGGAGAAACAGAGGCTCAGAGAAGTCATATGACCTGCTGTCATCTCCTGGGGGCATCAGCCAGGTTGGGGATGCAGCTCCTGCCTCCCTCACCCCGTCCTCCCTGCATTTGTCACAGGATGTGCTTCAACCTTTGATACATTGTTACTGATATATTGTTACCAGGAAGCAGGCTTACCCCTTGATACATTATTACCCATACATTGTTACGAGAAAACAGGCTCCCCTTTTGATACATTGTTGCAAGAAAGCAGAGAGCTGCTCTGTGCGAATGACCTCCAGGAGAATTCTCTTGTATATTCTGCTGTTTCCCTAAGTATCTCCAGGTCGCAGATCTGGGTGGAACCCAGCCCCGAGCACCAGGCCACACACTGCGATGCCCGGGTGTGATTAACCAGCTCCAGGGCCGCTGCTCTGAGCAGGGGGGAGGGGACAGACTCGTCAAGTGCGTGCAGGAAAATCATCGCCTCCGTGTTTCTCTGTATTAGTCTAGGATTCAGTCACCAAGGTTTTCATTGACTTCAACTGCAGCTATTTCTTTGGGAAAAAAATTTCATTTTCGTTGCTTAAC